TGATTTCTGATGAGTCTAATATGTGGCTTTTTAGGAGAAAGCACAAGTTATTATCATTTATTGTGTGGTCCAATGAATTCAATCAACTATATATATATATATTTGGGTTTAGCTCTCTTATGTGAGACTAATCTTGAATTGGTCAATTGAATTGATTACACAATTAGTGGCTTTATAATGGACATGAGTTGATTACTCAATTATTGGAATAAATATAAGTTTATAATAGGCGCAAATTGATGACACTTAATGCCTGCGATTATTGTGTACATTTTTCGTTTTATTACGTTATGCATTGGTTAGTATAAATTTGTTGTTATGTTACAATGTAAGACTCTCTTAAGACATGTATTCTTCATTCTTCAAATAATAGAAAGAAATTTCCCGAAAATCTATTCTCATTATTTCATTTCAATTTGTCATTCAACGATCCATTAACTTGGAACCAACATTTGGTATCAGAGTCTGGTTCAAGAGGAAGAGCAGGCAACTCACGACGCCATCTGCGAACGCTCGGTGCGGAAGGCTACTGGGAGCGAACGCGGAGGCTTCGGAGGGGAAGGCTTGCGCACCAGATTGTTGTCGAAAAGCGCCGACAGGCAGAACAAGATGTTCGCGATAATATTTGCGAACGACAAGGTTCTGCGGAAGAAGGTTTGCGGTTTGCGGTAGAGGAGCTAGCGAATTGAGCCAAGGGTTCTTCCATTTTTCGCAAACCAGTATTTCGCGGTGCTTTGAAGGAGCAGATAAGGATTGCGGGAGGAGGAAAATCGCGAACTAGCGATTCGCTCGACCAAGGACGAGCGGGAGGAGGAAATCGCTTTCTGATGAGGCAAAATCTCATACGGAACCCTCAGGAGGAGGAAGGGTTCAGGCGACAATAGAGGATTCGAAGGTAGAGGATTCAAAGGTTTTGCAAACAGGCGCGGTTTTGCAGAGGAGAGTATCGTTCGCGGGAGATCGGGCTCAGATCGTTCGAGATAGAGGAGAATCACGACATCTGCAGAGGTTGGCGTGCAGTTCGCGAGGCTATGAGAACAGAGGGTTGGCTTCGGATTTGTGCGAAGTTGGAGAGTTCTCCTTTGGGAAGAAAGGTGTTCGCTGGCGGTTACGGCAGGGTAGGGCTTCGGTTTGCTGGAGTAGCAGTTACGGGAACCGTCCTTTTTTCCCTTTCTCTCCGTCTCCACAAGCCGAAGCCCTGAAGGAATAATGAGGGAATATTGAGGAATATTCCCAAGCAAGGAGAGGATATTACCTTCCTGCAGTCAGTCAGAGGAAGGAATAATAAAAGAATATTTCATTTCCATCTAAGAAATTTTTTGTTTCCTCCTGAAGAGGCCAATTTCCTTTGTGAAGGAAGAAGGGAATAAATGAATCTCCTATTTCCTAGTTGAGGAGGAAAATAGAAAGAGGAAGTTCCGAATTTGGCCTTGGGCAAGTTCCAAATTTCTTTTGCTGGAAAGAGAATCTTGGCTGGGAGAAGAATTAGAAGGCAATTTTTTTCAAATTTCCTTTATCGGGAGGTGCGAAAGATTTATTTTCTGGAGGCCGCAAAATATTCCTCTAATTTATTTTGCTGCTGCGAAGAAATTTACAAGGCAGACGGGCTCGCAGGAAGAATGAAGGATTTTGAAAAAAGTTCGCAGTCGATTCAGCTCAGGGAAGTTCCGGGCTGCCTGCGAAAAGTTATCTCGGGAGGCTGCGGAGAGGAGGTCCGGCGAGGAACATAAAGGTTTCTTTTTTGTTATGTTCGGGAACTGTGGGTGGAGCCGCAAGCAGTAGTTCGGCAGTTCGCCGACAAAGCTCGCGAAGGGGCGTCTTGAATTGTGACAAAGGAGGTTCGGGCGAAGTTCTGCGTAGGACCAGGTTGTGCGCGACGGAAGTTCGTCCCAGGCTTGTGCGCGGCGGCGAGGTTCGAATCGAGCTGTGCAGAGGTGGAGTTCCGTGAAGCAGGAGAACGATCCAATGAAGCGGGATCGTGGGAAGCATGTTGTTCGCGC